GCTATCGTTAGTAACAGCATAAATATTATTTATTTAAATAATCTTACTGCCTATTTAGTTTGAAAAAAAATATAAGTGAGGGGAGAAAAATATTTCTTTTGATTCAATTAAAACATTTGTGAGGTTGTGAACTTTTTTTTGTTGTTGTTGTTGTTACATTTAATGATGGATTATATAACAAAAAATAATTTTTTTTTTCAAAAGTGTTCTTAACTATTTTAGTAGTAAAATCTAAAACCTTTGACTTAAAATCTCAAATTTTTATCTATAAACACTTAAGGTGAGATTATGAAATATACCATGGAGTTGTTTTTGGTTGCTAGCTATTCTAGATGTGAGAATCCTAGCTTTTTAAAGTATACATTTTTAAAATTAGAGTTTGTTTAACATATACCCTTAAAAGATATATTAAGAATATATTAATTACACATTTTCTTTGTTATTTTATATAGAAAAGCATAAAAGTTAATTTTATTTTTAACACTAATGACACATGTATGATTTTAATTAAATAATTAATAAAATTGATGTTAATTTTTATTTTTTTAATAATAATTATTAAAAAAATGCTACGATTAATGTATCCGTAAACTATATCCTTAAAATACATGTTATAAAAACCTTTTAACTTAAAAGTGATCATGTGCAAATTTAGTAATTTGAGGGGTTAAATGCATATTTTCAAATTATATGATGTACAGTGAACATTTTTGTTTAGAAAAGTTAAGTACACCCACCTCAAACCTCAAATTTGGCCTAATTTTTATTCGATCATTTCATTTACTACCTAGAAAGGAATACAAAGATCATCTCCAAACCCACTTTGCAATATGTTAAGAGCAAAACGGTCAAACTTAAGGTCTTCTCCCCAACCTTAAATAGGCCACACACCCTCAAGTTTCTCTTGAAGGATCAAGCATCCCTAGGCTCACAGTTGGAAGATCACACACTCTCAATTCCATCCTTGAGGGATCAAACACATCTAAATTTTCTTTTAAAGAATCAGACACCCCTAAGCTCACAATACAATATTTTAAAATATAAGAAAAGATGTTCGTAATCCCAAAATGAGTAATAATAATACAAATCTTTTTCTACATTATCATGAATTTAATTTGTCTTCTTCCAACACGGGGAAGCCATTTTGTTATTATTGAGTGTTAATAAGAATAAACGAAAATCTTTGTGAACAACAAGAGAAAGATCAGTGGTGTACGAAAATCTTTGTGAACAAGAGAAAGATCAGTGGTGTTTGTCTTGGTGTATGAGTTAATAATGCATTAATTGCATTTTTTTATTAATTTTTATAAAATAAAAATTAATTTTATTTTTAGAACATGCAAAAAAATTAAAGACGTCTTGACATTAAAAGTAAAACCTCAAATCCACCCTTCAAATTGGGAGCTAGGAACAGATCTATTCCTTAAAAAATATATAAGTGTAAATTGTTTCTCTAAATTATAAATTAAGACAAATTATTTATTTTTTAACGTGTGATGTTAAAATTTTATTTGTCATGTAAGCATTTAAGTGATTTAAATGATGATTGTGATTGGATATCTTAGTAATTAAAATGCGAGAACGTCATGATTTTCACTTTTTTGTTATTTTTAACATTAATAATATGTGTACAATTTTAATTAGGCTGTTAATAAAATTAAATTCATTTTTTAATTTTTCAATAACAATTTTTGAAAAAAAGATGCAATTAATAAGGTTAGAAAAACTCAATAATCAAATAAGCAACCTTTAAGGTGGAAAATCAATGAATTTTCAAATGGGCGCACGTTAAGATGTAATAATTGTATCATTATCTTATTAATTTTTATAAGAAAACAAAAAGGTTAATTTCATTTTCAACCTCAAATGACCCTTGTTCAATTTTGATTCAATAGTTAATGAAATTGCAATCAACTCTTTTTCTTTTTTTTTTTATAACAATTAATAAAAAAATACAATTAATAGACTTTTAATTTGTATATAATTGCACATGATATCCTTTTTAAATTTGACTTTAATTTTGAAAATTAACTAATTAAATTAATACATGTAACATTAATATTAAAATTAATATCGCACTTTATTTTTTTATATAAATTAATGACTAAAAGTATATTAAATACTCTTTAACCCTTAGGGTATAAATTAAAAAAATATTTGTCTAACTTATATTTTAAGAGTACAGGTTAACAGTACAATAAATTTATTTTTTTGTATTAATTCATATTAAAAATTATAAAAATTGACATATATTTTAATATTATTGATACATTGATAATTTTAGTTAATTAATTAATTAATTTAAAATCAATATTTATATTTTTAATAAAAATTAATTATACAAATATATATTTATTATATTTTTATTCCATACCGGATACAAAAAGTCTACTAAAAAAATCCTTAGTAGCAATCAAATACCTTTTCAATAACTCTACCAACAGTATTTATAGTTGGATGGTGGTTTATTGGCAGCAATGAATGCACTCCAATTTACTAAAATTAGAAAAAAAAAAGCTATCACCGACAATAGAGAATCAACTTCTGCCCTCAGAGTCTATTCTTCTTGACACAAAGTGGATTTTTCACTCTATGTAACTTAGCCATTTTTACACTTCAACTGAAAATTTGATTCTTCCCTTTAGGTGTCGATTATTCGACTTCAATGCTTGAATTCATTTCTTGAGAGTAAACTTTGTTCCATTTTTTTAAAAGATTTTTTTAATCTATGCCCAAGGGTATATTTTTATAATAAATTTATATATAAAAAAAAAGTAAAAATAAACATTAATTTTAGAGTTAATGTTACATAGATAAATTTAATTAGATAATTAATAAATTAAGTATTATTTTTTATTTTTTCATGACTTTTAACCTGTACCTTTAAGATATAGGTTTAAAAAATCTTTTTTTAATTCAAAAAAATAAAATACAATCTATATCACACAGATTGCAAAATGGTATTCTCTGAAACTCTACAAGATCTATTCTTTTTTTTTTTTTTGAAAATAGGTAATGCAACAAGGTCTATTCTTACCTTTGTTCTGAAGGGTCGATTTTCCTCTTGAAGAGAATAAATTCTCTGATTTCCCTCCACAATCCAGTTTTTTGTTCTTGTTCTTTGTGAGTTGATTCTTCAACCCAATAATCCTCTCTTTAACCAAAATTTGGAATTTTAAAGTTTTATTTAAGAAATCGCAAAAAGTTAGCGTGTTCTTATAATTAAAATGTTGAGAGAGATAATAAAAAAATTTAAATATTATTGATAAATTAATATATAAAAAATATTTATATAAATTTTATAAATAATCTTAAAATTTTAAATAGTAAAATGTCTTGATTATGTTCACCTTTCTCTTTTCTTAAAAGTATTTTTTGAGAAATGTAAATCCTATTAACCTCAAATCATCAAACAACTTTCATCATTTGCAAAATCACCAAAAAAAAGTTAACAATTCTTGTCCCATGGCCATGACCCTTCTGAAAGAAATTGAGTCGAATCCCTCTCCCACAATAGAGAAACATTACAAACAACACAAATTACAGAACCACTGAAAATAGAAGAGAAATTCTCACATCCAATGAGAACATCACATCAGTAGTATTGCCTTGCCACCTCTTTTTTTTTTTCTTTTTTTTTTTGAACATAGGGAATTACGGAAAAAGGGATTGAAAGAAATGAGATTCTAAACTCCCTACCTAAGTAAAATGTCCCTCACAATTAATAAGGGATTATTCGAGCCACTTAGAATTTTTCAGTATTGTCACTATTTATTTTTTTTGAACAAATTTGTAAAAGATCAGATTCAAATTGTTGTCTAGAGAAGGAGATGCACATTAAACCGGATTTAAACCATTGTCGAGAGAAGAAAATGCACTTTAAATATGACTTGATACCATTAAAGCCTGATACCATTAAAGCCGAAAGGCTAAGTACCTAATTTTGTCACTATTTAATGAAATAAACAAATACAATAACATATTTAACTGCCACTTATAATTATAAAGATTAATTTATTATAATTTATTAATTATTTAATTACAAGTAAGTCCACAAATTATAAAATACACAAACAGAACATGAAAGTCCACAAATTTTGTCACGAACCAACATTGCATTCCTATGGGTATTACCGACTTTACAAGGTAAATAATTAATTTCATTACACTAGAGTCGTTGACCGGTCAAAGGAAAAATTAAAAAGCAAAAAGTCACAAAAAAAAAAAAAAACACACATTAATTTGAAGGGGGGATTGAGACGTGATTGACTAGCCCTTTTCCTTTGACCAAAAATATCAAAAAAAAAAAAAACCAACAACACTTTTTTAATGAATTTCAAAGAATTACTTTACTGGGAAGAAGAGAAACAAAATGAAATTCAAGAAAAGAAAAACAGTAATTAGGATGTTACTGAGAGGAGGAGGATGAGGTAGAAGGAGGAGGTTGCGGTGGCGGAGGTGAAGATGACTCAAATTTGTAGTATTTATCGACGGCGATGGAGACATCCCAGGTGCAGCTGAGTCCTTTGGGTATGACGACGAGATCTCCAGCACCAAACTCCACATACTCCGACGATCCTTTTGGGTATGCCTTGACTTTCCCTTTCAGCAAATAACAGGTCTCTTCTGCATCGAACTTCAGCTGGTACTTCCCCGGAGAACACCCCCATCTTAATAAATAATATCCATAAAAAGAACCCAGAAAAGGAAACCCAAAAAAAAAAAAAAAATCAGAAATTTCTAAAGAAATTGGTACCCTGTGAGAAAGATATCGTGTTCGAATTTTGAGACGGGTAGGGAAGTTTATCCCTATATATATATATATATATATATACAAACAAAAAGGAAAAGATAGAAAGGATGAGAAAGAAGCTTACTTGGGCCAGCACTTGATGTTTAGCTCAGAAAGTTTGGATTCAGGAGGGTTTCTTTCTACTCTAATTCTGAGATTATCGCTTGTATTATCAGCCATGAATGGGGAGAAAGGAGAGGAAGAAAGGGGTTTTTTAGTGTTTTGTTTTGGTTTTTATGAGGGGAAATATCTGTCTTCCTTAGGGGAGTGGAAAGGGGGACAATTGTGTATATTTAGGGGGAAACTCAGCAGGAGAGGAAGGAAGGTTTGCAATTTTGGATAGGGGAGAGGGCACTTGGGGACAGTATGTCTTTATTTATTTAATTATTTTATTTTAGTTTTTGAGAGAAAATCTTCAATCTATACTTTCACCCAGGAGCAATGCTAGGGGCACTCGCTTCCTGCACTCTCCGGCCAACACTTTCTCTTTTATTGGCCCACGTTATTTTGATTCAGAGAGGTGGCGCCTGAAAGCTTTAAAGAAGCTTACGTGGCCCAATGAAAGGGGAAGTGTTAGCCGGAGAGTGCAAAAAGCGAGTGCCCCTAGCACTGCTCTTCACCCAGACATTGTTCAAATTTGATTCAGACTTTTCTATTCTTTTAAATAAAAGATTATAAAAATATTCTATACAATCAAAATTATATAGAATCACACGAAATTAATTTTATCATTTTAATTTTATAATTTTATATAATTTTAATTATAACATTATAAATTAAAAAATTAATTACTTAAAAAATATTATACAATATAAATTCTATAATTTAAATTATTTAATTAAAAAAACTCTTTTGCATCGAGTCCTGCTAGCAAAGTGGTATTAGCCATCTTACGATGCACTCTTTTTTCTCCTAGGCTTGGTTTGACGCAACCCTTTATCAACCAGTTCAAAAAAACAAAAAAAATATGAAAAAAACTCTCTTGACATTTAAAACCGTTTTTTTATATGAATTCATGTTTTGCGAGATTCTTATTTATTAAGATTACTATTATATATCTAAATAGGTGGTTGTTTTTATTTATTTTTTATTTTTTGATATTTTTCTTTAAAAATAAAAGCATTGACTTATTACATCTTATCATGTCATTTAATCAAAAATCACGATAATGTTAAGGCGACCATATGCCTTTGCATTGGCAATTTTTCTTTCTCATAATTTCCTTCTCCTTGGGGTCAATTGACTCCATTCTCGTCAATGATTCAAAGGGTAAAAAAATCAAGCCCCGTTTTGTGTGATTTTCACACTTACCACATGATAAAAGTGTGGTGGCTCGCAAGGGGATCAAATTTGGGGGGGTGGGGGGATGTTGTGGAAGAGTATAAAATGAAATTAATATAGATTTGGAATTATTTTAATAAAAATACTTGAAAATAAATTTTGACTTAGGGTCTTGTTTTTTTCTTTCTAATTTGTATTTTGAAATCACTTTTATATATATATTCTAGGCCCGTAACTCCCAATAATTTGGTAAATCTAGGCACGGGTAATCCATTTTAAACTTTTAGGTGTTAAGTAGGTGCCTTTATGCTAAAGATATATTGTCATGAATTAGAGTTGATATGGCTTAATTATAGTTTTGGTTGAAGTTAGTTTAAATAGAATTTTTATAAAATTTTTAATTCAAAAAGTTATATAAAATAATTATAAAAATTAACAAATTAAAAAAATTTGACCACAAAAGGCCTACTTCAAAAGCAATAAATATATTGTGATACCTCGAAGTCCGCATTAGAATAGAATTTTGAATATGAGTGATATATAAATGTGGGTATTAATTATTATTAATAATTTAAATGTAAAATTTTAAATATCTATAAACTTTACTTTAAAGAATTATTAAGCGAGAGTGATGGGTTTTGACCTGGATTGTCTCATTTGGAGCTTCAATTTCTATCAATTAAGAATCCAAAAATAGGATCTTTTTATAAAAAAAAAAAAGCTAAAAGATTTATTAAAAAAAAAACCTACAGTTAACCAAGCTTTAGCTTTTTTGACAAAGAAAATATTTTAAAAAATTTTGTCAAATAGACAAATAATTAAGAACCTAAAATTACCAACATATACAATTTTAAATCCTTAGTTGTTAAGACACTTATGGCTTTAACTGTGGCTCATTTTTCTTATTTTCAGAAGAAAATTTCAAATACATTATATAGGAATTACTTTGTAATTTAAATTTACCATTTCTAAGAATATTGTAAGTTTTCTTATTATATAATAAATTATTTTTATTGAAATTTTATTTGTGACATTATATTTTTTTTATTTATTTATAATTTTACACAATAACGTAAATATATCATTGTCAAATTTCTTATGCGTGTCAACTTCCCTTTACTTTGAAGGAATGATTTTGGAATTTGGAACGCGAGGATATGTCTTTGCACAACTTAATGCCAAAAAAAAAAAAAAAATCGTAGAAACTACCAAATTATCATCAATCAAGTGTGAAGCAATGACAATGGGGGGGGTGTGGGGGGAGGTGGGATTATTACCTCAGTCAAAAGGTTGACCGAATGATGTATCGGATGTGGACAGCTGGCAATATGTAATTGGATAATGAAAAGCACTGTTTGACCAGGTATCCGTGTCTTGAAGATACCGACACTGCAATTGCGTTGTTGTCGGTCTGTTTCTCTCCCTTTGGATCCAACCCTTTGCATTTTTTGTTTCCTTTAGATCGTTCCTATCTTCCTCGTCGACATGCTGCACGTGCAATTCCACGTGCTACATCGGATCATTTTTTTTTTTTAAATATTATACAATTTAAACGGTTATATATTAATTATATAATTTTAACCATTATATGTAGATATATTTGTTGCTATTAAGATTTTCTTATTTAATAATTTTTATTTTATAATTCGAATAATAGAATTAGGAACTCATATTTTCTTTATCCTTGAAATATGGAGCTAAACATGAAAAAAAAAAAGAAAAAGAAAAGAGAGAGAATGAAAATGCAAACAAAATTATATTTTGTTTCAATAAATTGTTATGAGAAAAAATTAAAACCAGTCTCATTTTTATTTTAAAACCTATGGTGATTTAGTTTTTTTAATTAAAATAATATTTTTTATCTAACTTTTTATAAATACGGTTAGTGATTCTTACGAAATTGAAAATAAAGAGAGTACATACAATTAAAGTGGAATATAGGGAAGTGTGTACAACAGAAGTGCTAAAGTTATAAATAATGTAAATATGACTTCTAAGTATGAGATAAATGTAAATATTATGGATTAATGATAATTTTTGATGTTGGGGTAAATTTTACATAACTTGTAGTATGGACCATGGACGCATTATGATGTTAATCAATAGAAGGATGATGTTTAGCTCTTTCTTCAAAATTAAGCAATTTTTATGAATATTTCTAAAGTAAAAAAAGAAAAAGTTGACAATGACTCCTTTTATAAAATTTGAGAATTTTTAGTGACATTAACTTTTTTTCTTACGTAGTTGAGACTTCACAAAAATAGTTTATTTATGGATTGTAAAGTACTTCATT